AGCACGTTGCAAAAAATTGCTTTTAGGTAAAAAAATCGTAAATAATTTGAAAACATCTATGAGTACAACAATAATTTTTGTTAATGTTATAATAATGTTTATGATTTCGAAATTATTTATATTTTTTATTATTTTTTTATATTAAAGTATCGAGGTTTCTCTCTTGAGATTTGAGATTTCTCTCTTAAATCTGTGATTAAAAATACAATCCAACTGAGTTCATAAAAATGAGACTAAACTAATTTAAATAACTATATTAAAAGTAAAGAAAATTGACAAATCTTTTTACATGCAAAAATGATTGTGTTAAAGGGATAATATAAAAGAGAATATTCCGCTTTACAAGTTATATAGAAAGATAATTATCTAAATATAGGTAAAGTAATAGGAATATGAAACGGACGAATATAATGAGGATAGTATGCCTACTGCAGATGTATTAACTTACTCTGTCCCTATTATAATGTTTAATTAACTATAGATTGCTAACCCTGAGACCTTGATCTAGTTTATGCAGGATATTATGTGAAGGGTTTGTTTAGCAGACTGCCTATTTGAACTTTTACTTGTATAGTTAAACAATACATATTTTTACGTTACTTGGAAAAAAATATAGAGGAATATATTGAAAATTAACAAACTATTTTAAATATGAATTCAATAAATTGTTTTGTTTATTTTTATATTAACGTTACATATATTCTACAATTGCAAATTGTAAAATAAAAGTGTAATATGCACATGTATCTGAATTAAATATATCACGAGTATTGCGCCCGATTGACCTATGAACGGTACGGCGAACAAATTAAACTAATTAATATGTAATTTGGCTATTTGATGACAAAATTTCGACATCTATTTTCAGCAATCGCGAAAATTGAAATTTAATGATAAATGGCGATATAAATAAGCGAAAACTGTTGCTATAAGATTGCCTCGTTCAACTGTATATTTAGGTACGTGAGTTCTGTAACAGAGACATTGACACACGGAACACGTTTGATCAGCAAATATAGTTCAACAAACGTAAACTCGAAGAGCCCACATCCGACCTAAATGTGCGAAAAAGAAGTTAAAGCACCTAATCAAAAACTTTCCCGATTCGTATGCAGCATCTCTGCCCGCTGTACGGAAATCCGGTCGTCTGTATTTATCGATGAATGGAAACAAGCAACTACAAAACTATCGAAAAGAGATTGCTGACAGTATCTTAGTAAAAAGTTTCTACTAGTATTTCTTTTAATCTTTGCAATACTGAGATAAAGTGATAACGTAATTCATAGATGTTTAGAAAATCACTGCAAAGACGGCGACGGCAAATGCTAAGAAATTTACTTTGATAAAGTGTTAACACTAAATAGTAAAAATAATAAATTTATAAGCTGCATGTATTTGTGTCGTATATTGTTGTCATATGCGATATTAAATTACTCTTTAATTTATATTTCTGTGTAATTGCCGAATATATTGTGCATTTACACAAAACTTTTATTCAAAGGAATCATTGATTCAGTATAATATACAATAGGTTGGTGGTAAAAGTCATATATCTGTATCTATTAATCTCTTCTTTGCATATTGTTTTAAATTAAACTATATTCTTAAATAATTGCAAGAATATTTTGTCGAAACGATCAATTTTAAAGCTTTTTGTTAAAAATTAGTATTTATAATCTACTTAATTGTAAAGCTAGTTGAGGGAACAAAATAAGAAATAAAGAGGATAAAAGCAAGCGCACAATTTATGAATGCGGAGGGAATCACAGAATTTAGGAAACTATATTTGATATTTTTATATGAAACATTGATATGATAATATTGTATGTCACACTGTCATACTCGAGTGTCATTCTCGAGAGAACATATAACATATACGCCTTCGAACAATGGACATTTCATTCTAATGCAAATAAAAACATATTTGAATTTTTATCATGAAATAAATTTAATTTCGCGGATCAAATTTAACACTACGCAATTTATCAGAGTTATGTGTTTAAATCATGCAAGATAAAAGTTTTTATATTATTTTGTATAAAAAAATCAACTTTAAATAAATCAGAGAATGTATTGTTAAAAGAATATCTGTAAGTTTTAAAACACTCTGTATGAAAAGCAACGAAATGTGTAGTTACTTTTTATGCTATAGAAAAAAATTCGTAGAAATATATATAAACGATAATAACATATAAATTTAATAATAAACTTTTTAGAATTATTATTGTTTTATTATTTTATTGTATTTTAGATTCAATTTACAAGTTATAAAAGTTAAAAACTAATTAACGTATGTAAATATACAAAACAATACTTATCGATCGCCATACGTTCTTCCTATTTTCCGTGATATTTATCTCCCGCTAGTTTTCACGAAAAATTCAAATATTTTTAAAAAAATTATTGGCAACACACACACGCACACACATATACAAATTTCAAGCAATACAAAAAGAGATAGAAAACTTTAAAAACAATATTTCGTATTTGGAATTGATAGTTAGGTTTGCAGCACAAATCTGTCGATTTCAATACGTTTCCGATTAAAAAAAAAAAAGTATTATTAATCGCGTACTTACGAATTTATAATCAATTAACGCTCAATTAAAGCGATTGGAGCAAAAATTGAAAGTAAAGCAAAATCAGAGAGAGAGAGAGAGAAAGAGAGAGAGAGAGAGAGAGCGGTAAGATCAGTCAAAGAGGAACCGCACCGGTCTACAAACGCGGTGCTACTGGCGGCGTTTCCCGCGCGAGAACGAACGTATCGCCCTCCCTGTGCGATCCACCACCACTTACCCCTGAGATACATAGAATCAGCCCTTTACCGTCTTTCTCTTTTCTCTCCTCTCCTTCCCTTCTATGGATTAACCTTATAGCCATAAAAGCATGCTGCATGATTCAATGCAAATCTATATATTGATTCGCCAATCAAAAATTTATTTCTTATCGTAACAGTTTAAACTTTTGTTTAAATGTTTTTTTAATTAAGTGAGAATAATTAATATAAACTTGTGCGCATTTATTTATTTCTACATTCCACAATCGCGCAGTATTTTGATTAAAAAGTGCACTGTGTAGAATAAAACCCAATGCTTTGTGTATCAGAAACATAGATTTAATAAAAATTTACTTTATGTCACAAGGTTATTTTAATGTTTGTAATAAATTTCCAAATATTGCTTTTAATATAATTTTTATTGTAATTTCTCGTTGTTTAAATTTTAATACAAAGTTTTTTTGAAAAGAAAATTATTAACCAAAAATATATACTCATAAGTTATAAATTTTGATGAAATAATGAGATCATACCTTTGCATCTTAAATGAGTTTTGCATTGTATAAAAAGAATGCCACTTAATTGGGGATTTAATTTTAAGCGTACAATGTTTTCTATTTCCGAAAAAATATTTTTAAATCTAATCTGCTTTTTTTTATATTTTTTAAAAAGTATGTTTATTATCACTACAAGCTATAATATGTCAATCAATTTAAGACAGGAAGAAAATTAGCGCTATGATTCTGAAAGTCCAAACGTTTAATTATGATATTTAAATGAGGCTTTAATAAAAACTGTCGTTATTACGTGCGTATCGACAAAGTATTATAATGAATATTATTTATACAATGCTCAATGAAGGGTTTAAGCACATCTATAAAGATAAAGAAGAATCTTGGTAACGATATATGACTGAATTAATTATGATTATGATTTTATGCTTCCAAAAACTCCATAACGTACCTAGATAAGTTCAATAAGATTATTAGTTATCTGAGATGTAATCTGAAGTCGAATTATCACCTTTGTACATATGCTGCAAGGTCCATAGAATATTTAACTTGAATTAAAAGCGATTAAAATTGAAAAACATTATCTAATAGAATATTTACAACAAAAAAATCGATTCGGTGCTATCAAAAAAATATAGATTTGTTTTTCATAATTTTTTTTATACTTATTACCTACTTTTTTCCAGAAGTGCTGAAAGTCTATCAACCTTAACTTAACACTTGTACATCTTCATTCACGCTTTTTCCGCACCTGTATATTCCGTTTCAATTTGCTGAAGGTACAATCGTGAAAAAGCTTGTTTACGTCTGAATTAGATTTTATATGTATTGCTGCGTTACTTTTACTTTATCTTGACCTTGCTTTACCGCATCATAAACATGTAACGCGATGTTATTAAAATATTCCCTTTAATCACTGTAATATGCAAACGAAGAAGCACTGTACGCCACATTCGATTAAATCCTATTCCGATAAAACTGCGCTCATTATCCCGGTGGCTCTTATCTGAAAGCAAATGTACACGCGCGCGTAAATTCATTACGTCTACACATAGTCCGTCGTCTTAATCATTTAATCGTTTTATGGTAATCGTTCTACGGTGAAATATCACAGTCAAAATTAATACACGTTTAAAAATTGAAAAAATATATAAAGCTCTATTCAGAAACAAAAAGTATGTACTTATATCGTTAAAATAGTTATATATTTTACCACAATAAACATTTGTTAAGTTGTAAACGACTTTATAAATTATCAAATAATATCTTACTTAGTTAATATCTTAATCAAATTTTAGAAAATCTATTTCTATTCTAATGTAGAAAAAAACTTAATCATAATCTATTTTAATTAGTATCTTTTTTTCATTTTTTGTTAAGCATTATTTATTAGCAATTAGTAGAGTTTCGAAGCTTTACGTTCACTTTAACGGTTTAATGGTCGCCATTAAATTTTTGTGTAATTTTTGTTTACACAAAAAATTGAAAAAACAAATTCATTCTACTTCATAGTTATTTTGCATACTGTATACGATTATAGTCAACGGCATATAAGTATAAAACACATTTATTTCTCACATGAATAATATATCGCTGACAATATGTGGATATGTCAATAAAATTTTATGCGCGTATGTGTATCTAACATGAAGATTTTCAATGTAAAAAAATAGTGAAATGTGGCTGAAAAATTTTATATCTTGATTGTATACCATAAGTAGAACATGGAACATTTGAATTTATCGGATGATATTCTGTACATTTTCTACTAAGCCGGCTATGTTGTTGTATCGATCCAAGCAGTTGCAGCTTTTCGCAGCAGATAACATAGTACTTGATTTACTGAAAAATGATAATATTTGTCATGTTATTACTAAAGATAATTTTATTACAATTAAATTAAATATTAAAATATGCAAAGCAGAAAAAGTTGGAGGAAATATTTCAGCTGTTCTTTGACTGTTTCTAATATAACAGATTTTGCATTGTTTTACTAATAATAACATTATGTTAAAATACAATATGATATATTTGCTTCTTCATAATTAATCGATGATCAAACGAATATTTTGTAAATGACAACATTATAACACTATCTAACTTCTAATTTTTTATGTAATGAATACGATCTCACGGTCTCTCCGTCTTAATGACCAAGTTTTTCTATTAAATTTGAACTGGTGAAAAAATATCTTTGATAGAAATGTTAAATTAATATTTGAGTAATGTTATCTTTTTGTGGTTTTATAAATATTATCCAAACATTCAGATTTATTAATTAAACACATAATGATTTATTCGTATATTTTAATTGTATCCAATGATTATTTTAAAATTATTTTTTAAGAAAAAAAAAATTTATGAAAGTAATAATGATAAATAGTGCATACGTATAGATAATGTGAGCCTATAGATATGTTGAGCTTGAGATATAATTACACTCAGTTAACATGCAAAGAAAATCAATGCAGGTTCAGAATATCAAGTTTGCATATTTGTTGTATAACCTGCTAATTAACAAATACTCAAATTTCAGTTAATAGAAAGATAAATGGATTTATATAGAGAGAAATGGAAATAGAGAGATAAACATTTTCGCTCAATATCAAATTTTAAAGGCTGCTGTAGCAGCTTTACAAATTAATTAAACAATAAACACTTGTTTGAAATACATATATTTTTTTACATTTATATTTTGCAAATACAATAGCTATTATTTTAAAAATGTCTGAAATGTTTCTACTATTTTTAATTATTATAGCTTTGTATTATCTTGTAAAAAAAGATTTAATATCAAAGATTTTATTCAATTTTCAAAGATTCTATTTTATATTATTTTTTTGTCAACAACATCTACTTGAGCCGATGCAATTAATTACATGAATATGCGCATAACATATTAAAGATAAAGCAGCTAGTAATAGTTTTGCCATGTTTACGTATACTTCTATGAATGTTGCATTTCCAATGGTTTACATGGTTTATAATGGTTATATATACATGGTTTATACCATGAAATAGATTTTTCTACATAAAAATGACACATGACACAATTCGTATTGCGCGTTCTATGCTTTTAACATAGTATATCAGCATCATCTGTGTTGCAGTAACACTTTATTACTTATTGTTACGGATGAGTTAAATGCAAAATAATAAATTTTACACAGTAGAAAATTACATAAAACTGTTTTATTCACTTATAAATTTTATTATGTATTAAATATTATTAGCGATGACGATAAACGATAATTTTGCAAATCTCGAGCACGCGGATATCGCGAAAAGCTTATATCTATCAGATTTAATAATAAATAAACTATCTAATGACTTTATATACTTTATAATACAATTTCACAAACTTATTAAAATGGCAAAAAAAGATTTAATTAAAATTCTAGAAAATATAGAACTTTAATAGTATTAGTATCGTAAAAATCAACAATAGTTAATAAATTATACAATAGTAGTCATATTTTAGCGCTGATCGTTTATCTCATTTGCATCTTTCACTTTTCCAAGATCGATAATACTGTCATCAGATAGTGCTCGAAAACGTTCTTCGAATTGTAACGCATTCGAGCATTTAAGCAATTGTTGCTAGCTCGAAAGAACTATAGACTGTCAGTTGAATGCCAGTCGAGTGTCCGATCCTTTGATTGTGTAGAATTGCGTCCAACGCATCGAAGCGGCGTCTATTTACACGAACCCTTTTACCATTTTCGCGATCCTTCGTGCAACTAGTTTCTCGATACGCCCGAGGATACGTGTCGATTTTGCTCTTCCCCGCTAGTTCTTTTTTCGTTGCGTATAACGCTTTGAAGCCTCCGAAAGCCGGAATAGCAAAATGATTGCACTCACCTCACTACGGTGCATGCTGTATCATAAATGCGCTATTTATGAGCGAATTTATATCGCGAATATACGTACGGAAAAATCACAACATAAATCTCAGTTTTGAACCATTAAATAGTCAACCATTGTCATAAAATAGTCTTCTCTGAAAATAATTGATAATTTTCTATCATGTCATTTAACATCAATTTTTAATATTATTCCCAAATCTTTTATTTTTAATTATTATTATAGTCGATGTTGTATGTTATAATCGTCGTTGACAAAGTGTTATTCAAAGAACAAAGTAAGATCTTTATAAAGTCAATTCAATATTTAATACACATCTTTATAATTTCATTTTTAATGAAGTTCTACAAACAAAGAGCATAATTGCATTGGTCAGCCACAATCTTTTTGCTTTGGTTAAATTGTACATATGTCGTGATGTCAGAAGCAGAAAGTCCTTCCTACCAATCTTCTAAAGAATTACAAGATCTCTCTGTTAAAAAAACAAGCACCAAAATAAAAACATATATATTACTATTATTCCTAAATTTCTACTTACATCTGTTTCATACATCATTATATAATACTTACGTTGATCAATATTAAGTTAATAAAAACAAATTTTTCTATTAAACAAATTACATACATATATCATTACAATTTTACGCGATGAAACTTTGCTCATAAAACGTTTAAATTTTTTTAATTGTTAAAAAAACACGAAATATCGATAACAGTAAAAAAACTTTTTAGAAAACGAGGAGCCGAGGTCCTGCAAATCGATGATCTACGGAAAATATGAAACAGAGCGTAAGCTAGAAATTCAATTGCAAGCTCAGTTCAGTATATGCATAAAAAAGCATACCTCCACTTTATATGCTGCGAATATTTTACCTCATATTTTCTCACATAAAGCAGACTTTACAAATGATTGAAAGCAATAACATGTACAATGCGGTTCGTCTCACAAATCCTATTGAAATAACTACTTAGGAGAGAATCTAAAAAAAGGAAAAAATAAAAAGGAAAACTCTATGAGAAAATCTTTGTAGCACACAACTCGATGTTTAACACGCATGATTTATTCAACATTTTATAATTTTTTTTTTTTAAGTTTGTAGCGTTGAAATGTCTCTCGAACTCGTAAAGCCTTTCTATCTTAAAAATGCTTCTCGAGCTTTAAGTTTAAAGTACATTGCTTACAACGCTTGTACATCTAATAGAAATGGACAATTTTTGAGATAACTCTACTGAATATTAAACGCGCATCTAATAAAGGGTCTTAACTTTTTTCTCATTTTAGTTGATATGTACATGTAAAACTGATAGTCACATAAAGAAAATTTCTAGAGGACAATAAAATACCATAATATAAATTGTGTTATTCTTTTAAGATTAATATAAATTGTGATATTAATATAAATAAATCGTGATATTAATATAAAATATAAATAAATATATAGTTCACTGTGAGTAGCACAAAGATCAAGCGGGTATATGAAGTATTTATTAGAGCATTAGCTTTAAGTGAACTTTTCAGCAATTTAGGAAACACATGATATACAATAGATAATACGATGTATGTAAACACATAATTAAATTTGCTAAAAACACGGCAAATATATGAAATACATGCATCAAAAGAAAATCTATTCAAATTAAAATTCTACTGCAAATACAATAGAATAAGAACTAAAATGTACGAGATTCTCATATGCGACGTAATTTTGTTAGAAGATATTGGCTAACGTGGCGCAATGTGCGATGAGAGAATTATTTCAATTCGCTAAAATGCTTATGTTAGGTTTTAATTGCAAATCTAACTTTAACCAAATTATCTCAATCAAAATCTGCATATTTTAATAACTATTTTAACCAAAGAAGATCGAAATCCGCACCAATCAGTTACGTAAATAACATCACTGATTAATCTCGCGTATTTCAAACAAAATTTTTGTATAATAAATGATCGAATAAGCAATTACGAAATTGTACGAAAAACGTACCTGCGCATCGTTCACTTTTGTCCCGTTCTGTCGTTTCTATTTTTGCTTATTTCCAACGATGGTTCTAGACGTAATCAATCACATACAATCGCGAACAAATCTCGAATGAAATCCGAAAATCGAGGCACTCGCGATAAAAGTTGATGAACACAAAAGTTCGTATTGCAAAATAAAGCCGCAAAGAGGATCATGCGCTTTGACACTCTGTACTCGACAGTTAGGAACGAAAGAAAAAGATGAGCAACGATATCGGGAAAGTGGAAGTGTACTCGATGCAGGTACGATTGGCCCGTTCGCTGTTTCACTTATCGCTAGAATTCTAATTGAGTTTCAAGTGGATTCGCAAACAAAACTGACGGCGATAGTTTGGCAGCTGATCGTTTCTAGAATATCTTCTTCGGTGTCTCTCGGTACACATGACCTCGCGACAATGAAGAAAAGCTCATGCGATTATTTCGACACGATAATCATTTGGCGCACGTGTGATGAAAAAAAGTTTTAATCAAGAAAATTTATTTCCACGTGAAACGATAAAACGATAAAACAAATATACGGATGCTAATAAATGACATAAGAAAATTATTTCTCATTAACTTCATCCCTAGATGCTTGGGAAAAATTATTACATTATCAACGTGAGATCAAAATATCTTTAAATATTAAATCATAAATTGCACCTTTTTTGATAAGCGATTCATTGTGTCGTACAACTGACGTAACCGTAGCACATTAATTATCATCATGATAGCCAAGAGAGTTGACAGAGACACAAATGATAACCATCTGTTTGCTATTAATCTGAATCTGCAATTTAATACATATTTAGCATGGATCAGAGGATAGATTGCGATTGCGAATTGGAATTCCGAAAGCAAATCAAAATTTCCGTGTGATGTTGCAACCACTATTACATATGTATTATATGAATATTTTTCTATTAATATTTTACGACGTAAATGAAAGATAAATTGCAGGTTGCATTTCCAGCAGAGACACAAATAAAAAATATTATAATCCATTAAAGTAATTGCAAAGTATTTGTATGCCATCAAGTATATAAGTTGCATTATAAAAAATGACGTCCCTAGAGTATTTGGAATTCATAAAACTGTAACTTTTCACGCTTTTGCATTTTTACATATTTTTCACATTTTTATATGGCCATTTTTTTTCTTCAAGTTCTAGAAACAAGCAATTTTTTTTTATTTTATTAAAAAAAATAGATTTTGGTCGTAAGGATTTATATAAATCCGTCTTATTTGCTACACGACTTATTCTTGTACATAATTTAGTTGTAATCGCTAATCGAAGAGCTGATAGAACCGCGGCAGGTAATAATTACGCTGTACATTTACAGCACACAATTTTTTTCTTTATATTTTTTTCGAAAAGTATGATTTTGTGCACTAGAATGAGAGTAGAATGAGAGTAGAATGAGAATAGAGTAAGACAGATGGAGAGTATAAAGGGAGAAAGATGGGAGAACTTGCTGGCATCGCGTTTTGCGACTGCGTCAAGCGGTCGTGGATCGTCTGTGAATCCGTGGTTTCCTTCAGTTCACGCTGCGCACCCGATCTGTCGAATTGATATCTCGTTACTGTACATGAAGCAATTTTTAATAGATTATTTCTTTTCTCTGTGATGCGATAATTAATGCGATTAGTGTGTTTTATTAATATTTCCTGATTATTTTGACACTTGGTAACGCATTTTCTCCGGATAAATATAAAATTTTTGATCTTTAAAATATTTAATTAATATATCGGTCGAATTGGTAGAATTTTTCCTGGAAAAATCAATTCCTAAGGTATTACTATAAACTATAATATGACATTTCTTTTAGTAAAAATTAATAATGGTGACTTTATTTTGTATTTGCAAATTTTTAAAAAGAAAATTAAAATAAGTAAAACAAGTTATATAATGTATGAAATAAATGTATATCGTAAAAGTATCAACAAAATGTGTTTTAGCATTAAAAGCTGAAAATCGATTTAGTCTAATCTCAAGAAAACGCGCCAGTTTTATAAAAGAGCAGGCGCTTAGAGAGGAATTTACAAGGTAAATCGTTTTCGTAACTTACTTTTTGTTTTTAGTGTTTCGATCAACTAAAAACTTTTGAAGACAAGTTAGATGACATTTTTGCGTTATCAGCGTATTCAGGGTTATTTTTTTAAGCAGAATTTTTATTTGATATACATGTATCTATTATCTATATGTCAAATATGTAGCTGCAATTTATTTTTGCGTAAAATATGTGAAGAAATGCACAATTAACAATATTAAAATTAATTTTTCTTTGCGTTAAAATGTATATCACTGTTTCATGCTTAAATCAATTGATCTTTTGTAAAGCTGTCTACTTGTGTTATTATCGAGAATTATATAATTTTTATGAAAATGTGATTAATTTTAATATCTTTTCTGCATTTATGCATGTTTTGCAAGCATAGCTAAGTATATCACATAATACATGTTTTCTTCCCTTGCGTTGCGTATATTATAAGTTTAAATTTTTTAATACATTTACGAGATAACAGTATGTGTTTTAATAATATTGCGACTAATATCGCGCACGAAACGCATAATTAAGATTTGTATAACATGATTTGTACGGACTGCTCTAATTTATTCTCTATAGTAAGTTCTAGCAAAACGTAATTAATAAGGAGATGATTTTATTTGGCTTTCTACCTTCAGTTACTAGTTACATAATTTAATATATTAAAAGATATGTAGGTATATTATTAATTTCTATAGTTCTATATTTCTGTGAAACTTTTTATAAAACGTATTTTTTATATCTGTATTTTTTTAGCATTTTTTCGTGTTTCCTTCCTCATACTTCCTTCCTCTCTCTCTTCTTTCTCTTTCTTTTTTTCCATGTCTTTTCTCTCTTTTTCTATTTTTAATCAGAAAAATAAGTTTGAAATGAAATTAGTTAAATGTAATTTAAGTTTATATTTCCTTAACTTTTATCATGTTGAATAATACTAACTACAATTTTTTTTTTTGTAATTTTCTTTACTTTTGTCAGCAAGCATAACAATATATTCTGAGATAACGCGTAAAGAACATAAACGTGTTCACATTTCATTCTGGAATTTTGACTTCCGCGTTAACACACACAGGACGGAAAAGACCTACTTTCGGTTCACTGTAGGCACGATATCAATAACTAGGTTAATGTTAAGCAACTTTAGAAGCACTTTCTAGCTTGTTGCAACGAGCACTATTTGGCGCCTGTCATCTGAGCGGATAGTTTCGACAGACCAGAGACATCGATATTCGAATGTATATTTGCTACCGCCGTCTCTGATAGGTGTAATGTTTCTTTGATCTTGTCACACGAAAGTTTCGACTATTCCATCACTTCACTTGCCTCTTTTACCTAATTACATCACGACGATCTTGTTCACTATCAGCATATTTGAAAAATATATTGTAAAATTGCTTACAATAAAGAGTGAGATACCGTTCGCAAAAATAATTATCTTTTAATAACGCTTTATAATATTAATTAAAATTTTTATTATTTTTAATTATAAGTAATTATAAACATTTTTTACTGTTATTATTTATAGTTTTTAATATTAAATTTTCTAACTTAAACAATTTTTTAATTAAAAATATTTACATGAACTGAATTATCAATTACGACAATATTAAAAATATACATAACTATTTGTAATTAAATATAATAAAAATTTTGTTTTTGTTAATGTCCTAATATTAGTAATTATTAAATTGATATTAATAATATTATAAAACTGTTGCAAATAATTTAATAACTCTATGCTTCACTTTTAAAGCTGAGCATTTCTATTTCGCACGTATTTCTATCTTTTATCCTTTATCAAATACATGATCTTTTTTGCTATTTTTTAAATTCCTCTTCAAATGCGATTAAAAGATTTAAACGCACTGTTTCATAAGAATGTTTTTAACACCGATATTACAGTATGGTTTTCAAAATGTGCTGACACTAAACAAGAATGTGTTACGTAATTAAAAGAGAAACGAGTGAAATTTGTAGTACAGTCGAAACTTTTATGGTAAATTCTTTAAATAGTAGAATTAAATATCTTTATAATTTTAAACGGATAATTATCTTTCTCATGATAATCTCTGAAATTCAGGTCAAGTATTCAATTGTGTAATTTGCATACCGCGAAGACATTCTTTAATCCTTCTATATTTGCATTCTTTTGCATCATTGAATACAAATAGAGTTACTCGTAGCGAAATAAATACTTATACGTTTCTTTAGTAATCCTATGTTGTAAAGTGAATTTAAAAGTATAGCAACCGAAGAAAGTTGTAAAATAAAGGAAAATTGCATTATGATAAGTAAGATCACTGGGTGATCTCATGATATCAAGTTAGAGCATACGTGAGCTCAACTAGAGAGCATACGTGATGTGTAAAATAAGTTGATTCTTAGATTTCTGCAGATATAGCTTTAGCAAACATATTAGCAGAAGCACATTAAAGTTTAGTCGTTACCTCGTTTGACTAAGAACACGTTATTAACGCGTTATTAATAGCGAAGTATCTTGTTGCAATCTCCCGACTTGTAAACGATCTCTCAAATACGAGAGTTATGGTAATAACAAGGGAAAAACAGCTTTTGTCAGTGATTAAAAATGCACATTCAAATCTAATGCAATTTAAATATTTTGCGCATTATAAAATGCATATAAGGAAGAAATTTCAAAAGAAAATTGCATCAAATAGCATTTTAAAATCGCGGTTTATCCGAATTATTTAGAATTGAAAACTCAACTTGACTTTGTCTTTTAAAAATTTTGTTATATTCGCGCGTATCATTAGCTTTTATGAAATTTGGACTGGAAATAAAATTCTAAAGTTAAAATCTCCTGTAAAAGAGAACATAATCCTTTTATAAACGTCAAGAAGTTAGAACTCAGTTTTATAAAAACGCAGCTTTTTGACGAGATAAAAAATGAACTTTGAGATGTCAGCTGTATTATTTTTATATATATGAAGATCTTATTGTATCTTTTAACTTATCGTTCTTTTTGAACGGTATACGATTGTTATCCAAGAATGTTTTCTTATCGTACCAGGAAAGAGTTTTCTTACCGTTTTGGCGGACATAGTAGTTTATAGATTTTTTAATTGGTAATATAACATTTTTAAGTTTTACACGATTTATTATTATTGTATATTATTTTACATAAGAAATTTTCCGGTGGCCGATGTATGGTGGAAAATGAGTGATTATGATTATTATTTTAATATACTAAATTTTGTTTTCAAATTATTTTTGGAAAAACACGAATATAGGAAAGAGAAATAACGTAATTTAATATAAACTAAAATTTCTAAAAAACTATTACCCTTAATAAAAACATATATAATGTTCAAAACACATTACGTGCATTGTAGAATAATTTGTGCGGCATTTGCGTGATATATTACGAAATACATTCTACACAGCGTGGAAAATTAAATCACATGTTGCGATATTCTCTAGAGAGCGAGTATTCAACTCAACTACAATAGAAGCTGTAAGCAATCTCGCTACAACCTGAGCACTCTTACTTAAATGTATACACGATATCAATATGCCCAAACAATACAGCATAATAAATTAGAAGAAATTAACATCAAATAACAGTATCAATGCAAAAGACTTAATATGTTCTACGCTTGATTTTCGCATGAGAAAAATATTCCAGATCCAAAAAGAGGATCGAAATAATTTTGAAATATTTTTTCGTTCACACAATAATCGAAAAGAGCGATATGTAGTACTTCTAACTAAGTTTACTACTGTTTAGAGCAATGTTGGCAAATAACATGAAACAACATCTCGATGCCGCATTAATCAATGTGCCCTTTAGCAGAAATTGTTATCAGAGTATAAGTTATGACCCCGAAACCACCCGCACGCAACGTCACCTTCGATTTAATTCCACTTCATATCGCAGCAACTTGAACAAAGGGATTCGAAAACACGCTGTTTTTATTTGCATTTTTGATGGACTATTACAATATTCAACATCAATTGCACAAAAAATAACTTAAAATCTGAAAGGAGAAAGAAATAAAATCGTAACGCAATACCGATCTTTTATTCGGGAAAAATTATTTCGAAAGACTTTGTGTAAAATCATCAACGTTACTGCGAAAAAGCGACATACTTTTCATTTTATTAACCTTTATTTTCGTTAAGATGCTGCTAATTGCAAGCTCAGTTCGAAATTAGTTTTCCATCAATTTTCTCGTAACAAAAACAAACCTCTTGCAACTTCAGTAAAGAAATAACTCGATAATGTTACTATTGTAATGTATAATTCAAGTCAGTAGCAGTAAATCATTTCCACAAATTTTCGTAAACGAAGAAACACATTATTTTTTAACTTTTGGAGTGTTTGTGCACTTTGCGTCACAAAAAATATTAGAGGAATGTTAAAATTAGAAAATTGAAAATGTTTTGAAAGAATTTATGCTATTTATGCTGTATTATTTGTTTAAATTATCATTTTGCAACAATTTATTTTAATTTTTTATTATTTTTTATTTATAATTGCAGTACATTAATTTAGTAATGAGTCCTTGTTTCCATTGCTTTCGAATGGATAGATATATTCCTTTTTCCTAAAAAAAAAAAAAAAAAAATAAAGTAATTTGTAAAACTTTGTTCCTGTACATTGACATGCACGATGAATAATTCAGTTAATATAACTACGTTGCTTTCAGTTATTGCTTCTGATGGTGTTTTTGAAATAATATCATTAGACTGAATATAGTTTTACAAAAAGCATTTTTTAATAATAAATTTGTTATTACATTTTGTATAGATACCAATATTTTACAGATTACATTAATTAACGATAAAAATAATAATAAAATTGCAATGATAAAATTGATATACATACAACTAGTATTAAAATTTACTTGTAGGACAAATACTTTCTCTTTCTCTCATAATACTCACTGCTTTTTTTTATGAGACTGTAGTGTTTGTTCGTGCTTTACATAATCGACATCTTTGATATAAATCCTTCAAATGAGATTTTTATTAAGGGATA